ATATATTTAACATAACTTGATTAATTAATTTGTTTTTATTTTATTGTTTAATGCATTTTTGTTTTAGTAATTACACTAAGTATTCACACTAAGTCTGACATTTTGGTGAAGTTTACTGTGCAAAAAGTCAAAAAATTCGTACCAAACTTGGTGAGAATCGTTTTTGTGCATACATTGTATTTTGATTGGATATTTGATATTTACAAATGCTGTTTCATGAGTGTTCACATGTCTTAAAGCGTCGCTTTTTCTGCAGTTATGGGAGAGTCTATGCAACTACTGACCCATATCACCACAGCATCGGCCCGGCAGCTACTTACAGCGTGGGGACCATGGTAAGATAAACCACTGTTATAAACCCAGAAGAGTCCAAAACAACATGCAAATGTATTGTGCACTTTGTTGGAATTGCATTAAGAATTTTTTGTCCACCACGTATGTGCCAGGTGTGTTTCTGTGAGTCGTTTTTCCATGACACGCTCCCTGACGAGAGGAAGTCAGTCGGTTAATGTCTGTTTTTAGCTAGCGTTTGCAGCTAACATCAAAGATGAAGGCACTAATGGGCCGTCATAGTGAGGAGAGCTCGTCTCTTCTCCACTGCGTCGTTTGCTCTCTATTTCCCCTCAATTAACGAGCATGTAATGCATGCAGCAGTGTGCCGTGGGACAGACTCGACTAAAGGAGACGACAGAGGATGGTTTGTTTCCAACCACCTCTCTCTATCAGAAAGAGAAAAAAAAAGACTCTCGTTTGGCACTCCAGAATGCATGCAATTTCTCAACGACAAGGACATCAACAAAACACATTAAAATTAAATAAGAAAGAAAAAAGAAGAAGTAGTAAACAGTTCCCCGGTGCAGCTGCTAGCTAAAAGCTTTCATTAATTAAGGCGCTTTGTTTGAGACTCCCTTCTTTTACTTAATTAAGACTGTGCTTGTACGCTTTTCTTTACTTCCTGCTTCCATGCAAATTTCCTTCCTTGTTTCTTCATCAACAGTGAGAAAAATGACCCCGTCACGGAGCCGAGGAGCCCCATCAGTGGCTCCATTCCAAAACCTAGTGAGCCGCCTGTCTACTGCTTACAAAGAGACTGTGTTCTTGCATTGAAGACTGCTATAGAGCACAATTGTTCACAGTGCTTGTTTAGTTAACACTCGAAGTAGATTGGTCTATCGAAGCGATATCCCAATTCATCAGTCACGACGTGACTCGTAGTGACCGACTGAAAGGGTACTACTTTTGTCTTGATACAGCACCTTTAAAAAAAAAGTGTTAATAATCTATTTTTGAATTAGTATGACCTTAGTTGTTTGTTTGTTTGAAAATATTCTTAAACAATTGTGGATGGATATTTTTGTTGCAATGCATTCTGGGATTGCACACAAAGGATGCATTGCAAAAACCCTTAGTGTTTTTATTTATTTATTTATTTTTAGATAATAATAATAATAAAAAGGTTATAATATAAATAAAAGGTTAATATAAAAATAAAATGATGCTTAATGAGAAATTGATCTAAATGAAATTAAATAATGCTTAAAATGAGAACAGTTATCTGCCTTTTAATTTGAATTAATTAAATTTTCTTACCCCACTGGCAGACTTTTTTATCACTTAAGTTTGACCAGTTTCTCAGAAAATTACTTGTCATTATGCATTTCAAGTATATGCATCTTGATCAGTTTTATTGTAAACAAACTTTTAAAAAATTAAAATATCAGATGAAAAGATTCAACTTAAAAAATAAGTTTAAAAAAATTGGCTAAAATTAAAATAGTAAAAAAAATACTAAAACCACTCAAACTAAAACAGAAATAACAATAATAAGTACGAAAATAATACTAAAATACCGCTGATCTTGATTTAAGAATGTTTAGATATTCTTCTAGAAAATAAGACAAAAATAAATTAAATAAAAATAATAAGAATAATTTTTTGCAGTGTACAGCTAATGGTGCATTACAAAAAAAAGGTCTCTTAAAAGGGTTTGAGTTCCTTTTGAAGTGCCTCTATATTGTCTTAGAATGCTGTCTAGTTAGGGAGCTCACTAGGTTTTGGAACAGACCCCAACTTGTCCGTTTAGATATACAGTATTTGTGTGTGTCTGTGTGTGTGTGTGTGTGTGTGTGTGTGTGTGTGTGTGTGTGTGTGTGC